AATAAAAATAAAATAAAATCTTAAAAAACAAGACCCACAAAAGATAGAAAAATAATGGAAGACAAAAATAGGAACAAAGAACAAGGGCAACAAATAGAAAACAGTAATATACATGGTAAATATGAATCCAACTATATAAACAATAATTTTGAATGTCAATGCTCTACATGCACCAATTAAAACAGAGACTGCCAGACTGGATCAAGAAATAAGACCCAACTAAATGTTGTCTACCTGGAACTTAACTTTATATATAAAGACACATAAAGATTAGAAGTAAATGGATGGAGAAATATATCATCCTAACACTAGTCAAAAACAACATAGGTAGCCATATTAATTCATACAGAACCAAAACCAACTTCAGACCAAGGAAAGCTATCAGGGATAAAGAGGGGCATTACATATTCATAAGGTGGTCAATTCTCCCAGAAGACAGAATTATCATTAACATGTATGTGTCTAACAACAGAACATCAAAATACATGAGGCAAAAACTGATATAACTTCAAGGAGAAATAGATGAATCCACTAACATAGTTAGAGACTTCAACAACTCTCTATCAGAAATGGACAGATCATGCATGTAGAAAATCAGTAAGGACATGGTTGAAATCAACAATTCCATCAGTCAACTGGACATAAGGACATCTATAAACTACTTCATATAAAAATAGAACATACATTCTTCTCAAGCTCACATGGAACATTCATCAAGATAGACCACATTTGGGGACAAAAAAACACTTTATCAAATTTAAAAGAATAGAAATCATATAATATCTGCTCTCAGACCACAATGAAACTAGAAATCAATACACAGACTGTTGGAAAATTCCAAAACACTCAGAGATTAAAGAGCTCTTCTTTTTTTTTTTATTTAAAAAAATTTTTTTTAAATGTTTTATTTATTTCTAGGAGAGAGAGAGACAGCGTGAGCAGGGGAGGGTCAGAGAGAGAGGGAGTCACAGACTCTGAAACAGGCTCCAGGCTCTGAGCTGGCAGTCAGCACAGAGCCCGATGAGGGGCCCGAACCCACAAACCGCGAGATCATGACCTAAGCGAAAGTCGGACGCTTAACCGACTAAGCCACCCAGGCGCCCCCCCCCCTTTTTTTTTTTTTTAAATTTTTGGATGTTTAGTTATTTTTGGGAGAGAGAGCAAGCACAAGGGTGGGGGGGGGAACAGAGAGAGAGACACACACACAGAATCCAAAGCAGGCTCCAGGCTCTGAGCTCTCAGCACAGAGCCTGACATGGGGCTTGAACCCATGAACTGTGAGATCATGACCTGAACCAAAGTTGGACACTTAACTGACTGAGCCACCGAGGCACCCCTAAAAAACACCCTTCTAAAATATCACACAGGGCAAGAAGGACTCTCAAAAGAAATTTAAAAATATTTTGACTAAATGAAAACACAATTTGTTTTCATACAAATACAGTGAAAGTAGTGCTTCAAGGGAAATTTATAGCACGGAATGCATATATTAGAAAATAAGAAAGATTTAAAATCAATCATCTAAGTTTCCATGTTAGGAAACTAGAAAAAAAGAGCTATTAAATCCAAAGTAGGCAGAAGAAAGAAATAATACAAATTAGAACAAAAGCCAATGAAATTGAGAACAGGAAATCAATTGAGAGAATTAATGAAACCAAAAGCTGGTTCTTTGAAAAGATCAATAAAAATGATAAGTCTCAAGCCTGGCTTACTAATTTAAAAGAGAAGAGGCAGATTATTAATATCAGGAATGAAATAGGGGAAATTCCTCAACTTGATAAAGACTATCTAAAAAAATCCTACTCTTAACATTTTTTTTTTTTTACAAATAGTTTATTGTCAAGTTGGTTTCCATATAACACCCAATGCTCATCCCCACAAGTGCCCCCCTCCGTGCCCATCTCTCCCCTCCCCCCACACATCCATCAGTCCTCAGTTTTTTCTCAGCATTCAAGAGTCTCTCATGGTTTGCTTCTCTCCCTTTCCCCCACCATTTCCCCCCTTCTTCTCCCCCATGGTCCTCCGTTTAGTTCCTCCTAATCCTCCTAAACGTGCAAACGTATGATATTTGTCCTTCTCTGCCTGACTTATTTCGCTCAGCATAACACCCTCAAGGTCCATCCATGTTGCTACACATGGCCAGATTTCATTCTTTCTCATTGCCATCTTAACATGTTTTTAACAGTGAGAAATATGAAGCTTTCCCATTAAGATCAGGAACAAGACAAGAATGTCCCCTCTCACCACAGCTTTTTAACATCACACTGGAAGTCCTAGCTAATGCAAATAAACAAGAAAGGGAAATAAAACTGTTTGTTTTCAGATAACATTATCATCTATGTGGAAAAGTTGAAAGCATCTACAAAGAAACAAACGAAAACTCCTGGAACTAATTAACAATTATAGCAGGGATGCAGGATAAAAGTTAATACACAAAAAGCAATTGCTTTTCTATATACTAGCAATGAACAAATAGGATTTGAAATTTAAGACATCATACTATTAGTATTTTAAATAATCCAAGCTTTCTTTCTTTTTAAATTTTTATTCAAATTCTAGTTAGTTGACATACAGTGCAATACTGGTTTCAAGAGTAGAATTCAGTGATTCATCACTTATACACAACACTCAGTGCTCATCATATCAAAACATAATACTATTTATATTAGCATTCCCAAAATGAAAAGCTTAGGTATCAATCTAACAAAACACACAAAATCTATATGAAGAAAACCACAAAAACTGTGATGGAAGAAATCAAAGAAAAACTAAATGGAAAGATATTCCATATTCATGGAAAGAAAGACTCAACATTGTCTAGATATCAGTTCTTCCCAGCTTGCTCTATAGATTCAGTGCAATCTCAGTCAGAATTCCAAAGTTTATACGGAGAAGCTTTTGGCAGCAGGGTCTGGGGAAGTTGTGTCAGGTGCCATGTCTGGCCATGAAGGTGGCAAGATGAAGCCCCTGAAGCAGCCCATGAAGGAGGCCAAGGACACAGATGAGGAAGATAAGGCAGTCAAGCAGAAATAGAAAGAGAAGCAAAAGAAACTCGAGGGGGTAATATAAAGGCTATAGGGACAGGCTTCCTGGCCACAGGTGGAATTAAGAAATCTGACAAAAAGTAAGCTGTTTCTTGTGCCTGAAACAATGTGATTCTTAATTCCATTCCTGTTCAAACATTTGGATTCCTTGTCATAGTGTCTGTTGGCACCTATAGCTAGAATCAAGTGTTGTCCTAGATCCTTTTGTACACTTAAGAATAAACTTTTGTAAAAAAGAATCAGTCATAATGAAAATTAGGTTTATTTGGAGAGACAAAAGGCCTAGACTGCCTAACACAGTATTGAAAAACAAAGTAGGGAGACTGGCACTACCTAACTTCAAGACTTGCTATAAAGCTGCTATAATAGAGGGGCGCCTGGGTGGCTTAGTCGGTTGAACGTCCGACTTTCGCTTAGGTCATGATCTCGCGGTTCATGGGTTCGAGCCCGCGTCGGGCTCTGTGCTGACTGCCAGCTCGGAGCCTGGAGCCTGTTTCAGATTCTGTATCCCCCTCTCTCTCTGACCCTCCCCTGCTCATGCTGTCTCTCTCTCTCCTAGAAGTAAAAAAAAAAAAAAAAGCTTCTATAATAGAGATAGTGAGAATTGGCAAAAAAAATAGACAATACATAATAGAATACAGAGCGCAGAAATAACTCCACATAAATATAGTCAACTGATTTAAGATCAAGGAGCAAAGGCAATACAATGGAGCAAAGATCATCTTTTTAAAAAAAATTAATTTTGAGAGAGAGAGAGAGACAGAGAGAGAGGGTGCACATGCAGGGGAGGGCAGAGAGAGAGGGAGAGCGAATCCCAAGCAGGATCCATGCTAATGTGGGGCTCAAACCCATGAACTGTGAGACCATGACCTTAGCTGAAATCAAGAGTCCCGTGCTTAATCCACTGAGCTACCCAGGCACCCCAAAGATAATCTTCTCAACAAATGATGCTGGGACAACTAGATATCCATGTACAAAAGAAATGAAGTTGCATCTCCTATCTTATACAATATACAAAGATTAATTCAAAATGGACCAGAGGCCTAAGGGTAGGAGCTGAAATTATCAAACTCTTTGAAGAAAAGAAGTTGCTGGGTAATGGTCTTGTTTGGCTAGAGGAAGTCAGCAAGTTGGTGTGATGGTAGAGGTTGGTCGACAGACACCGATGCCCCTAGGCATCCCAAGCCAGCTCCTGAAGAGCTTGGGATTTCTTACCACCAAGTTTGTGTCACTTTGTAGGAGGCCAAAGAGGGCATGGCATGCTTGACCTTAAACTTAGGTAGCTGACAGCCTGTGAGCTACCACGCAGGAAAATGGGTAGTGACTACTACCGGGTTGATAGGGTGGGTGTTTCCTTTTGGGGTGATAAAGGTGTTCTGATATTAGAACATGTGATAGTGGTGATGATGAACAGGTGGTGATAATTGCACCTTTGTGAATATACTAAAAACCAGTGAAATGTACAGTTTACAGGGGTAAAATTTATGGCATATGAAGTATACAGCAGTTTAAAAATTGGGGTTCTAAATGAAGATCAGTAGTGTTAACTTTCTGCACACCTTTCATGTGTCAGCCACTGCGGTATTTATAAATTCTGCCTCATTGATCTTACAGTTCGGTCAATAGTGCACATTTCACATTGCTATTTTAGCCACTATTTGAGTACCTACCATGTCAACCTTTCTGGCATTCTGGGAGATTCCCAGAATAACATCTGATCGTTGAATACCTTATTCCAGGTATACACACAGTTGCCTCCATCAAGCTGCTAGGGGCGATGTTACCTAGAGCGTTAATTTCCGGCTGAGGGCCAGCGCAAAAATCGGCCGCCAAGGGAACGGGGCGCAATTTCATTAAAGGAAAGGAAACCACCCCCTAGGCATCCATGATGGGGCGGTCCTAGGAAGTGACGTCACGCCCAAGTTCCGGTTCCGCCTGTTCCGGGCCGCTGGCGTATCTCGCGTAACCACGCGGTGCACGTGTGTTCGTCGGTTCCGTGTTGCGGTAGCCATGGACCCCTTGGATCGAGTTGTGTAAGTGCGCTCCGTCCCTTCTGGGGGAAGTCGGGGAGTGGGACTCCTGTGGGGACGAGTGGAGAAGCCTCCCTCCGCCTGGCAACTACTCTCGTTCCTCCCCGCTCTTGGGCTTGCGGCGAGTCTATCCATCCGCTAACCTGGGTCTCTCTGTTAGTGCCGCTCTCTGGGCGATGGGGAGACGGGAAACCCCCTGGTGGGAGCTGCCCGGCGGTAGTACTGAGGTGTTGGCTGCTTTTATCCTACTTAGAAACGTCCTGGTTTCCCAACAAGTGTGAGGACGGTGGTCGAATGAATGGTTACGAGCACAAGGCTTCGGAATCTGACAGATGGTGGTGACGGCCCGGGCGCGTTCACAAAACTTTGTGACTTTAGGCCATTTAATCCCCCTAAGCCTCAGTTTACTTTGTAAAATAGCGTTCGTAATAATTGTACTTCATGGAACCGTGAAGATTACTGGCGAGAATGTACGTAAGGCCTTTGCTGCAGCACGTAGAGGTGTTCGTTAGTTTTTTCTTTCCCTTTTTGAGTTGATGTTTGTTTTAAATGCGTCCGGAAAATGTTTATTGATCTCCTAAATAGTCCTGCTGTTATTTCTTGGGATTTGCCTGGATTAACATCTAACAAAACAAATTCTTTTAGTCATTAATTCCGAGAATTTTGCACATCTGCTGTGTATTCCTTTAGGCATGGGGACTGCAAAGATGAGTAAGACTGATCTGATTGGGGAACAAACAGCTGATACAACAAGATGTTATCTGCATTAGTTGCTGGTTAGTGAGAAGTAATAAACCACATGAAATATTGAGCATAGAGCGCTGGTTTTTTGCCATAAGACATACTAAATGTTTCTTGCTTTAATAAATAATATGTATTTTTATCGAACAGTAAATCATTGGAAGCTTTATATTGTTTAACATTTTATTTGCAGGAGAATTTTTAAACTCTGCAGTGTGTGTATATTCCGTTTTCATTTTCCTGCCCAAAGTGTCCACAGGACTGAAAGGAGGATGGTGGGTGGTAGTTATTTAAGAGAGGAGGAATTTTTTCAGTGGATGGCCAAGAACTGTTGGAAAAGCAAGATATAGTGAAAGCAGAGGTGAAGCCCTTTCTCTGAACAGAATTAAATAAAACCATTCTACTCCTGCTGTCACATCATGTGATCAGAATATTGAATTTGTTTTCCCTTCATATTTTGCACAGTGGTCTAGATGAGTTTTTAAATTTTGCTCATTTTGAAGATTGGCTTACCTGCAAGTTGTGTGACCTTGGCCAGGTTACCTCTCTGGTTTCAATGGCCTGATCTGTGAAATGAAGATAATAATTTTAAATAATTTTACCTGTGTGGTAGGGTCTTGGTGAAGATAAAGCTTTAGTAAAGTGTCGATCATTATTATTCCCTGTTGGTGGCAATAATATTTGACTTTTTCAGCTGTGATGTTGGAGTGGGATAATGTATACTTCCTGGTAGGTGCTGTGCTCTACAACTGTTGGAAAGATAGGCAATTAGTAGCCTCCCTGTGTTTGGTAACTGTCCACAGATTGATCATAGTAGGTGTGTGATGCTTTGTGTTAGGGTAAGAGTTTTGTTTGCTTTAAGACTGAAGGAAAAATGATGGAGTAAAAATAGCAACAGTATTCATTGAGTCTTTTCTTAAAAAAAAAAGTTTAGAAAAAAACTAATAAAAGAATGTTATGATATAGAAAAAAATGAAAGCCTTTAAAAAAATCAAAAGCCAATGAAATTAACACTTAATAGTAATAGCTGAATACCTTTTGTTAATATCTCCCTAAAAAGTGAGATTTTTGTTTGTGGAATCCTAACTGAAAAATGTTATGTAATATCTGTTGATCTTCAAGAACTTGGATGTTAGTAAAATCATGGTTTTGTACTATGAGGAAAATGTTTTAAGTTATTATGCATTGTGATTTTCCAAACAGAAAGCCAAAAACAAAACGAGCCAAGAGATTCCTTGAGAAGAGAGAACCGAAACTTAGTGAAAATATTAAAAATGCTATGCTGATTAAAGGGGGAAATGCAAATTCATTGGTGACACAAGTACTTAGAGATGTGGTATGTATATAATAATTTTTTCATTTTTATTTTTGAATGATTTTATTTTTTAAGTAACATCTACACCCAGTGAGGAGCTCGAACTTACAACCCTGAGATCAAGAGTCATACACTCTACCGACCGAGCTAGTCAGGTGCCCCTATACACTTATTTTTTAAATGGTATTGAGGTCATTTTAGGAAATTTACAGCATACAAGTTTGGGCTGCTGGAGAAATACATGGAAAAGTTTGCTTTGGCTTAGAGAGAGAAGCTCAAGTTGGAGATTATTTGCCGTGGCAAGGCACTAGCCACTGGCTTTCCTTAAAGCAACTACAGTCGTTCCTTTAGTAAATTTGAACTGATTTCAATGAGTAGATTTTGGTTTACTTACATTTAAGGAACACCTCTAGTTTGTAAAGTGAAATAACCGCATATTACTATCTGTTTATTCCTTCAGCCACACCAAGCACTGCACAAGGTGCTGAGGATTAGTAGTTACATAAAACACATCTGTCCCTTCAGTGGGCTTAATGAGGGAGACAGGCAAGTAAGAAATTATAACATTGTGAATTAATTTCTTTGCTGGAGGCATGTATAGCGTAGGATGGGAGGCATTAAAATCCCAGAGGGGTGGTCATACAAAGAATGGGCTTCCCAGAAGGGACACTTAAACTTCATTTTGAAGGAGAGTCCGAGCAAGAAGGAGGAGAGGAAGAGGAGCAGAAAGTCTTCCAAAGCTGTGGAAAAAACTTGTGCAAAAGGGAGTGTGAAGGAGCATATGATGCATTTGGGGAACTGCAAATAATTGGGGATGGCTAAAGTAAAGCGGCTCGATGGAGCCAGAAGAACATGCAGGGATCAGATAGTAACATGGAGTTTGAGCTTTATTCTAAAGGACCTGAAGAACCATTGAAAGATTGGAGGTGGCAGATATGATCAGTCCTTTTAGTCAGTTTGACCAGAGAAAATTGAGAGCAAATGTAGGAAACCAATCCAGCCGTTGACTGGTCAGCCAGGTAATGAGTACCTGGAGTGTGGTGGTGCCAGTGAAAATAAGATATCATCAGAGTGACCAGATGATGAGGGTAGAAGAGTTTGGGCATGAGTAAGAAGTATGAATTTAACCAGGTTTCTGGATTGGATTCTTGATGAGTGATAATGGCAATTAGGAAATATATCAGGTGAAACAGGTTTGAAGAGAGAAGTGAGATGTTCAGTTCAGGACCTATAATATAAGTGATGAAGTTAAAAGGTTTATGTTTTTTCTAGCTCTGTAGCCTGATGTTTAACCCTTTGTGTGGCACTAGTAGGTGCTCAGTAAATAATCAATGAATGGAAGGCATTGTCCATGGAGATACCTAGTAAATGGCTGATTATTTAGGCCTTGAATATAGCAGATAGATTCTTTGAGTTATATCAAGTAAATAATTGATTTTTAAGCTTGACTAAACTGGTTGTTAAACACAATAGTCAGGTCAGATAGCTGAATAATCTAATACATGCTCATCCTTCTCAGGGTCATCGTGTTGATAGGATACTGGCCTTGTATTTAAGTCAGCTCCAAGAATAACACAACATTACAGGTTATTACGGTAACGAACATTCATATTGATGATTCTTGAGTTGTCACTGTGCTAGTGTGCATTACACCAAGGCTGGGAAGTATTTGGTCAAGAATTATCAAAAAGTTTTACTACTGAAGGCATGTCTGGCAGGCTCAGTCAGAAGAGCATGTGACTCTTGATCTCAGGGTCATGAGTTGGGTATAGAGATTACTAAAACAAATAAATAAACTTAAAAAAAGAAAAAACCGTTTTAGTACTTCAGAGATAGGTTTTACTGCTGAATGTCCTTTGATTATCAGCTCTGATGGTCAGTCATTTTCCTTTTCATTGTTTCCCTCATTTACTCCTTCCCCTGATGTAAGGTAATGCCTTGGATCTTTGTTATTCCTTATGGTAGAGCAGAACTGACCATACTGGTAACAACTGATTATTAGTGGATAAGTGGAAAGAATTAAGAAAAAAATGAAAAGAGGGTTGAATGAAAGGAATTAAAATTTTTTTTAATGTTTATTTATTTTTGAGAGAGAGAGACAGCGTGAGTGAGGGAGGGGCAGAGAGGGAGACAGAATCTGACACAGGCTCCAGGCTCCGAGCTATTAGCACAGAGACCGACTTTGAACTCCCCAACCATGAGATCATGACCTTAGCTGAAGTTGGACACTCAACCAACTGAGCCACCCAGGCACCTCGACAGGAATTGTTTAAAGGGCTGGGTTAAAAACTCTAATTCTTATTGTCATTGTAACTTTCTCAGCTCTCCTAGCTCCAGACAACATTATTTCAATTCTGTCAGCCGTTCCTTATAGGTTTTTTTTCTTTTCTTTTCTTTTTTTTTTTTTAATGTTTTATTCATTTCTAGGAGAGAGAGAGAGAGACAGTGTGAACAGGGGAGGGTCAGAGAAAGAGGGAGACACAGACTCTGAAACAGGCTCCAGGCTCTGAACTGGCAGTCAGCACAGAGCCCGATGCGGGGCTCGAACCCATGAACCGTGAGATCATGACCTAAGCGAAAGTCGGACGCTTCACTGACTAAGCCACCCAGGCTCCCCTATAGGTTTTATCTATCTATTTATTTATTAAAACTTTTTAAAAATGTTTATTATTTTTGAGAAGGAGAGAGAACTCGAGCAAGGGAGGGCAGAGAGAGAGAGGGAGACACAGGATCTGAAGCAGGCTCCAGACTCTGAGCTCTCAGCATAGAGCCTGATGTGAAGCTCAAACCCATGAACTATGAGATCATGACCTGAGCCTATGTCAGATGCTTAACTGACTGAGCCACCTAGGTGCCCTGATAGGATTTGTTTTTATTTGTTTTCTTTTGCTTTTCTTTCTTTTCAACTCTGTTTGTTCCCTGGAAAGAATAGAATAGGTAGAATTTAAAGAAATGAAAGAAATCATTTAAGTTGGATGGATTTTTGAAAGGGCATAGAAACTTTTTTTTTTTTTTTTGAGAGACAGAGAGAGGGTGCAGGGTGAGCAAAGGATGGGGGGGAGAAGGAGAGAGAAAATGCGGGGGGGGGGGGCAGAAAGAAGGCAAGAGAGAGAAGTAGGGCTCATATTTTTACCTGAAGCCCGGCTTGTGTTCACCTGAAGCGGAACTGGAACTCATGAACTGTGAGATAATGATCGGAGTCAAAGTCAGATGCTTAGTCGACTGAGCCACCCAGGTGCTCAGGGCCTAGAAACTTAATTGGGAAAGTCGAGTCTAAGTTAGAATATTAAGCTTATGTTACAGGTTTATATAAGTGATCAAAAGGGAGCCAAGCAGAAGACCTCAGAATAGGATTCAGGGACCAAGGTAATCTTGTATAATGACTGATGTAATGCAATTTAATTTTTACCTCTGCTTTTCAGAATATAATTTATTTTAAAACCTAAATTATGTTTTACAGTATGCATTGAAAAAACCATATGGTGTTTTGTATAAAAAGTAAGTAATGATTTATTTTAATTTCTATTCTCTTATAAAAGTAACAATTACTTTATGGGAAATTTAGAAAAATACTTTGTTTAAAAAACATGACGGGGCACCAGGGTGGCTCATTTAGTTAAGCAGTTTACTCTTGATTTCAGTTCAGGCCATGATCTCACGGTTTGAGCTTGCTTGGGATTCTCACTCTTCATCTCTCTCTCTCTCCCTCTCTCTCTGCCTCTCCCTGCTCATGCGCACTCTATCTCTCTGTTTCAAAATAAATGAATAAACATTCTTAAAAAAAAAAAGAAAAAAAGAAAAGAAAATGACAGTTCCTTACGTACAGCTATTAATATTATTTATCTATTTGTTTTTTTTTCAATTTTTAAACATTTATTATTTGAGAGAGCACACACGCATGTGCGCACGTGTGTGAGTGGGGGAGGGAGAGAGAGAGAGAAAGAGCACCCCAAGTAGGCTCCTCACTGTCAGCATGGCCTGACTCAGGGCTCGAACTTATAAATTGTGAGATTATGACCTGAGCCAAAATCAAGAGTTGGATACCTAATTGAGCCACCCAGGAGCCCCTATTTTATTTTATTTTATTATTTTATTTTACTTTATTTTTTTTTTTTTTGACCATTAGATGACTAATGTATCTAAAACAATTGAATTTAGAAAACACATCTAATTTTGAAGTAAGCAGAAATAAAAAGACAATTTACAAAGAATTATAATTAATTTCTAATCATCATCAGAGTCTGAATCATATTTCTTCCCTCGGATAGTTTTCTTTTCCAGCTTTGTGAAGTTTGTTCCAAATTTCTTTTGGCTCTGAAATGGTGGCTCCATTAAATTTCCACTGTAATTGAGAATATCAGAACAACCCAGCCTCCATTCTAAAGTTTCTGTGGTGAAGTCATCTGTATTTCCTAGGTCAGTAAATCCAACAACATAATCTTGTGTTTTTCCATCTTTTACCAGTGCTAGTGTGGGAATGACTTTGATATGCAGTCTCTCACAAAGAAAAGGTGCTTTTTCCACATTCAGCTTCAGAAATTTGGTCTCCAGATGTTTCTTGGATAATATTATCAAATGTCGGTCTAATATTTTACAACTGAACGTGGAGTCTCTGTAGAAATGGCAAACTACTTTTTTACTCTCCTTAACTTCCTGAAAAAAGTCTCTCTCACTAGGGATTTCTCTGTATTCTCCATGTCCTTTTGAAAGCCATTCTTGTTTCTGCTGTTGAGCTTTCCTTAGTGCCTCAAGTCTCTTTTCTTTGAGGCGTTCCAATTCATCCTCATCCATCTGATCCAGTTTCTGAATTTCAGAATCCAAATGTTCTTCCACTAGTCTGGTGGTCTGAAGCAACTGATTCTCCAGCACTTTTGAAAACATGTCAACAGATGTGTTAGCTTCCATTCTTCTAAAATTGTACAGTTCAGTCTTGGTGCTCTGATTCTTTTTCAGTTCATCGAGAATGGTAGAAAGGGGGACTTTATTTTTTATCATTAGTATTTTTAAAATTTCTTTCTTTCTAGTTTGTGTTTTCATTTGTATTGGATATTATTACATAGTTGTAATCTTAGCATATGTATATTACTTTGAATGATAATAAAAGAAAGGTTGTAGAAATAGTAGGGTTCTCATATACCCTTCACCCAGCTTCTCTTAATGTTATGTGTTATGTACCCACAGTACAACTATCACAAGTAAGAAATGGCCGTTGGTACAGTAATGTTAACTGCACTGTAGACTTGACGTGGTTTGCACCGGTTTTTACAGTAATATCCTTTTCCTCTACCAGGATCCTATATTGCATTCAGTTGTCATGACTCCTTTCTCTCCCATTTGTGACAGTTCCTCAGTCTTTCCCTTTTTGAGGACTTGGAGACTTTTGTTGAGTACTTGTTAATTATTTTGTAAAATATCCCTCAGTTTGGATTTGTCGTGCTTTTCTCATGAATAGATTGAGCCATATGTGTTTTTGGCAAGAATACCACAAAAGTGATGTGCTTTTCTCAATGAATCATATCAGGGAGTACAGGATGTCTTATGTTGGTAGCATTACCCTCGGTTAAAGTGATATCTTCTTGGTTTCTCCACTATAAAGTTACTATTTTTCCCTTTGTAATTAATAAACGTTTGGAGGAAATATTTGGAGACTCTGCGAAGACTGTGCAAATAACCCTCTTTCTTCTCACACTTTTGGTTATTAATCTTAGCATCCATCAGTGGCTCTTGTCTACATAGGGGATTACCTTTGGTTTTCTGATGGTGGTTTTCTATCTCCCTCATTCCATCTACATTTATTAATTGGAAATTTGTAAGGAAAATCCTGCCCTTCTTCTCTGTTGAATTTCTCATTTATATTAGTGTGGATTTACAGATATTTATTATATTCTTTGGAGTTATAATCCAATGCTGTCATTATTTTGTTGCTCAAATTATTCTACCTTTGGCCATTAAGATCTGTTTCAAGTTGGCTCCTTTGTTCTTTCAACATGCTCCCTGTGTTTAAGTCCTCCTGCTTTTTTGGTACCACACTATGCTCCAAGCTCATCTTTTATTTTTCCTTGCAAAAGCCCTGGAATCAATCCTTTCTCTATGGAGCCCTGTTTGTCTGTATTGGGGGCTGGTAATTAGGAAACAAAGATCTGAGCACAAAGTATGCTCAGTTGCTATGGAAGTAGCATTGTCTCTACATCCTCTTAGCAGACAGAGCTTGAAAATAAGTATTGTGCATGTTAACCCATGCATACATGAACATCTAATTTAATTTTATATATTTAAAAACTCCGAGTTGATACTGATACTTCCTAAAAAAATCATGTGAGTTAATACTAATACTTCCAATTCTAGGCCATTGTCACAGACTTCATTCCAGCCTTCTTTTCTTACTTGTAACTTTGCCTTTTCCAACAGTAAGAAACCTGGCTTTCGTTATTGATAATGTGTTGACTTATTTGTAGAATTCTAGTACGTGCATACTTTCAGAATTTCTAACCTACAAAATTACTGACTAAAGTATAGAATGTGTGTATAGTTCTTTGTCTTTATCCTTAGAGTGTCCAGTTAAAATCCTGTTTTCAAATGTAACATAGGTTTTTCTCTACCTCTTTAATGTAATTGTTTTATTACTTAAAACTACAGTTAAGGTCATTTATTAGTTTGTATTCTATTTTGAGTTTTTCTCTACTTTCCTCTTGGTTGTTGTTTGTACATACGTAAAGTTTATTCTTTGTGGTGTACAGTTTTGTTTTTTTTTAAAATATTTTTATTTCTAGGAGAGAGAGAGAGAGAGCGCTAGCAGGGAAGGGTAAGAGAGAGAGGGAGACACAGACTCTGAAACAGGTTCCAGGCTCTGACCTGGCAGTCAGCACAGAGCCCGACGCGGGGGCCGAACCCACGAACCGCAAGATCATGACCTAAGTGAAAGTCGGACGCTTAACCGACTAAGCCACCCAGGAGCCCCAATGTGGTGTACAGTTTTATGGGTTTTAAAAAATGCATTGAGCTGTGTCTGCCACTAGAGTCATGATACAGAAACAGTTCTATCATCCTAAAAATTTCTTCGTGCTGTGCTCTTGTAGGCCACCGCTCCCCATCCCCCTGTAACCAGTGAACTGTTTCCTATCCTTATAGTTTTTCCTTTTTAAGAATGTTACATAAATGGAATCACACAACATGTAGCTTTGGAGTCTATCTTCTTTCTTTAGCAAAATAATAAAAAATTATCTGTGTTATTGCCATACATTACATTTTATATCAAGCCCTTTTCATTTATATTATAAACATTTTTCTTTCTTTAAAAAAAATTTTTTTTAATGTTTATTTTTGAGATAGGTGGAGAGAGACAGAGCACTAGCAGGGGAGGGGCAGAGACAGACAGAGACACAGAATCCAACGCAGGCTCCAGGCTCTGAGCTGTCAGCATAGAGCCCGACATGGGGCTCGAACTCATAAACTGTGAGATCATGACCTGAAGTTGGACACTTAACTCAATGAGCCACCCAGGTGGCCCCTAAACATTTTTCTATTGATAGGTGATCCTTTTCTTTTTTTTAAAGATTTATTTTTTAGAGAGAGAGCACAAATGGGGGAGGGACGGGGGGAGGGGACAGAGGATCTAAAACAGCCTTCATGCTATCAGTGCAGAGTCTGATGCAGGGCTTGAACTCAAAAACTGTAAGGTCATAACTTGAGCCAAAGCTAGACGCTTAATGGACTGAGCTACCCAGGTGCCCTAGGTTTTATTTTCATTGCTAGTATAATGCCTATTAAATGGTTATACTAAAATTTATTTATAACTTATCTTAATTTCAGGAAATCTAGGTTTTTCTTTTTTTGCCATTCTTATGAATTATGCTAAAATGGCCATTTTTACACAAATGAATTATCTTTTGAATTAGTTTCTATGTGAGATTTCTAGACATGAGATTACTGGGTATAGCTTCATGCCCAATAGAACATATTCTGCTGCTTTTTGAAGAGATTGTCCCTTTGGCAAAGTGCAGTATACAAGTTTCATGGGCTGTTACCTACTTTTGGTTTATGTTCTTAAGCTAAGAAGTCAAAGTCATACTTGAATTTTCCACGTTTCCAACAGGTCTTATTTGCCTATTTGTGAATTATAGTTAGCTGATTATTGTTAATGTTATTGTTAATCATAAATGCTGCAGTAATTTTTCTTGGTTTGCCTTGTTTCTTTAAAGTTAATACTCTCTTTTTATTGGTTATAAAAGTAATACATGCTGCTTTTAGATAATCAGGATAATAGAATAAATAATCACCAGTAGCACTGTATAGTCTGACACGTTTTCCCTGTATATGTATAAATGTGTTTTATTTGAGTATAGTTGACACACAATGTGACATTAGTTTCAGGTGTAAAACATAGTGATTTGACAACTTTCTCCATTATGCTGTGCTCACCACAAGTGTAGCTACCATCTGTTACTGTTATGTTATTGACTATATATATTCCTTATGCTGTGTCTTTTATTCCTAGGACTTATTTAAAAAATTTTTTTATGTTTTTTATCTTTGAGAGAGAGACAGAGTGGGAACAGGGGAGGGGCAGAGAGAGAGAGGGAGACATAGAATTTGAAGCAGGCTCCAGGCTCTGAGCTGTCAGTGCAGAGCCTGATGTGGGGCTTGAACTCCTGGACTGTGAGATCATAACCTGAGCTGAAGTGACTTATTGATTCCGTAACTGGAAGCCTGTATCTCCCACTCCCCTTCACTCATTTCCACATGTGTACAGATATTTTATATTTGTACATTTATTTTATTCTTTAAACAAAATTAAGATGTTGTATAAGATTTTGCTTCGTAAAAATTATGAACTATATATAACTTTATAAATATATTTTAGTTCATATATAATAAATATATATATAAATATATATTTTTTTAGTTCATATATAATAGTTCATAAATATATATATGAACTATTTATAATTTTATAAATAAATTTATTGAGACTTCACTTACATGAGAAATCAGAAATTATAAGTGAAAGTATATAGTTTCTTATATATTTTATCAGAATTTCTTTACGCATATTTAAGCAAGGAGAAATATATATTTGTATTTCTCTCCTTTTGCATGAAAGATAGCAGGTTCTACTGCCTCTCCAGCTCCAGTACTAGTGTTCCTGGTCCCGTACGCTGTTTTTTTCTTTTTCTCCTGGATTACTGTATAGCTTCTTGCTAATTATTTTCACTCTTGCCATAACTACATTCCTTTCTCACACAGTGGACAGAACAGTCCTTTACAAAGAAAATTTGAAGGGCGCCTGGGTGGCTCGCTCAGTTGAGCATCCAACTCTTGATTTCAGCTCAGGTCATGATCCCAGGGTCATGGGATTGAGCCCCACATCAGGCTCTGTGCTGAGCCTGGTAGAGATGCTCCTTCTGCCCCTCTCGCCTGCTTGTGCACTCTCTCTTTCTTTCTCTTTTTCTCTAAAATAAAAAAAAAATTTAAAGTGATTATGATTTTAAAAAAGTAATAAAAGGGAAATTTGAGTTCAGTCACAGATCACTCTTCTGCCTGAAACTCTTCAGTGCTTCCTGTTACTATATTTAATATCTACATTCCTTACCTTGACCAGCAAGACCCTACATAACCTGGGCCATGTCTGCATCTTCGACCTCATGCCCCACCATTTTCACTTTGCCTGCTAAGCTTTGGTGATACTTGCCTTCCTTCCATTTCTTGAATAGTCTACGCTTATTTCCATCTCCAAATCTTTATTGTGTTCCTTCTTACTAGAATATCCTTAGTCTCAAAACTTTCCTTTTCTTTTAAAAAATGTTTGTTTATTTATTTTGAGAGAGAGAGTGAGAGTGTGAGTAGGAGAGGGGCAGAGAGAGAGGGAGAGAGAGTGAGAGAGAGAGAATCCCAAGTAGGCTCCACCCAGAGTAGGGCTCAAACCCATGAACCATGAAATCATGACCCAAGCCAAAATCAAGACTTGGATGTTTAACCAACTGAGCCACCCAGGCACCCCAGCCTCAGAACTTTTCAGTGAGTTATTCCTTATCTATCACATCTCAGCTCAAATAGTCATTTTCCACTCTTCATAACTAACACAATATCCTATTTTATTTTTGTCACTAGTTATTTTTTTTGAAATTTTTATTTTTCCACTAGAATGTAGGCTCCATGAAAGCAAGGATCTTGTTTGTTTTCTAGTATCCTTAGCTCTTACAACAGTGACTGGCACATAATAGGCAGTAAATAATGTATTTGAGTGAATGAATATTGCTCTAGCTTCATTTATCTGAATGTAAAATTATCTGAATATAAAATTATCTTTATTTAAAATATTACTTAATTGTTATGGGTGAAATGCTTATTAAGATTATTAAAATTAAGGTAACCTTTTAAAAATATTCTTAGGAAAAACATTACAAGACCATTTGAGGATCAGACATCATTGGTGAGTACAAGAATCTCTTGATTTAAATTTGTTTTAATGTTTATTTTTTTGAGAGAGAGAGACACAGAGGGTGAGCGGGGGAGGGTTAGAGAGAGAGGGAGACACAGAATCTGAAGCAGGCTCCAGGCGCTGAGCTGTCAGCACAGAGCCTGACGCGGGGCTCGAACTCATGAACTGTGAGATCATGTCCTGAGCTGAAGTTGGCCAGTTAACCTACTGAGCCACCTAGGCACCCTAAGAATCTCTGATTCAAGACAGCACTATTCCTTTAGTAAATTTGTGGTGTTTTGAATTAGAAATCATCCTATATGAGGGAATTTTGGTGTAAAGTGGAAGGGAAATAAGACTTATTTATTTACCTAATTTTAAAAGTTTATTTATTTATTTTGGGGGGGAAGGGCAGAGTGAGTAGGAGAGAGAGCACGAGAGAGAATCCCAAGCAGGCTCCCCACTGTCAGCACAGAGTCCAATGCAGGGTTCGAACTCACAAACCGTGAGGTCATGACCTGAGCCAAAGTCAGATGCTTAACCAGCTGGGCCACCCAGATGCCCCTGTATTTATTTATTTTTGAAGTAAGACTTTTATACTTTTAAAACTATGACTAAAGTTTAAAGTTTATTTATTTTGAGAAGGAGCAAGAGAGCACATGCATGTGTGCACAAGCAGGGGAGGGGCAGAGAGAGAGTGAGAGTGAGAATCCCAAGCAGGCTTCTCACTGTCAGTGCTGAGCCCAGTGCAGGGCTCAGTTCTATGAACTGTGAGATCATGACCTGAGCCCAAATCAGGAGTTGGACGTGTTAACCAACTGAGCCACCCAGGTGAACCCAGAAGTACAGTTCTTAAAGTTCTTATATTTATGCATTAATTGGGATTCCTTTGGTTTTATAGGAATTCTTTTCAAAGAAGTCAGATTGCTCTTTATTTATGTTTGGTTCCCATAATAAGAAGCGGCCAAATAATCTAGTAATAGGTAAGTATCATTTACTTTCTGATGTTTTTATTTACAGAGTCTGTTTGTGACTCAGATTAATTGATGGTGTTGAAATTTCAGGAGTAACAAGTAAGCTCTAAACTAGTTTTTAAAAATTTTCCTTGTTGCGACACATGGCCAGATTTCATTGTTTCTCATTGCCCTGTGTCGCAACATGGATGGACCTTGAGGGTGTTATGCTGAGCGAAATAAGTCAGGCAGAGAAGGACAAATATCATATGTTTGCATGTATAGGAGGATTAGGAGGAACTTAACTGAGGATCATGGGGGAGAAGAATGGGGGAAATGGTGGGGGAAAGGGAGAGAGGCAAACCATGAGACTCTTGAATGCTGACAAAAACTGAGGACTGATGGATGTGGGGGGGAGGGGGGATGGGCATGGAGGAGGGCACTTTGGGGATGAGCACTGAGTGTTATGTAGAAACTAATTTGACAATAAACTATTTGTAAAAAAAAATAAAAAAAATAAAAATTTTTCCTTGTGACTTTGAATGAAATTTTTTATCTGCCAGACTGCAGGTAAAGAATAGGCATGTAAATACTATTACCGAAAGTTGCTGATATATTCCTAATATAAAATGTATGTATCTTAAATAAGTGTTAGAGAAAAAAACAGAAAGTAGCCTACCTGCCCACATAAATTAACCCTTCAATGGTAAGTATTGGTCTGGTATCATCATTGGCTTAGGCAAGCCCTTTTACTTCTTGTGGGCCTTTATTTACTCTTCTATAAAATAAGGAAGTTTGGCTAAATGATTTCCAAGATCCTTTCAGGGCCAAGATTGCAACAGTCTATTCTAAGTAGAGTTCAAAATCAAAGAGGGGACATGTTTGATGGGGTATAAGGAGGGGAAAAAAAAAAAAAGGGAGATGTTAGCATTTTGAACATGCAAATTAAGTGGGTACATAAGGTGGCTCTTTGGGAAAAATAAATGTTTAAAAGAAAATGTATTTTCCTTCTAGGTCGTATGTATGACTACCATGTGCTGGATATGATCGAATTAGGTGTCGAGAAGTTTGTCTCTCTAAACGATATCAAGGTAAGATACTCATAAAAATAAAAAACATTTTGTAATGTTGCTCTTGGGCAATAGTGACATCTTGTGGTGAAGAGTACTATTACAATTTTCTAGCTTAAATAAGAAAAAACTTTTTATTCTAGTGTCCTCTGAGATAAAAGTAAATTTCATTTTATCTTTATTTTTTGATTGTCACTACTTTATTTTGGTATAAAGACAGGAAGCTAGAAAATACATTGTATTAAAAATTTTTTGTTCCTTTACATGCTGTGGAAACTCCCTCATTTTATTTTTACTTTAAAAAGAGATATGTTATCAACATATAATATATATTTGGCTCTTCCGGCAGTTAGATTCAAGGTGGTTATTAACTCTTGTCTAGGATCATAGTTTAAATGCTGTCCTCTCCCTTGTCACAGCACCTATTTCATGGAACCTCAGAAATACCAGAGTTTTCTGGGGCATTTAGGTGGCTTAGTTGGTTAAGCATCTGACTTTGGCTTAGGTCATGGTCTCACAGCCCATGGGTTTGAGCCCTGAGTCGAGCTCTGTGCTGACTGCTCAGAACCCGGAGTGCTTTGGATTCTGTTTCCTTCTCTCTTTGCTCCTCCCCCACTAGCACTCTGTCTCTTTCTCAAAAATAATATTAAAAAAATTTTTTTGATAAAGAAATACCAGAGTTTCAAAGTGAGCCCTTTCTCTTTTTTTATCTTTTATTTTTTGATTTAAAAAATTTTTTTAATTAAAAAAAATTTTTTTAATAGTTTATTGTCAAGTTGGTTTCCATATAACACCCAGTGCTCATCCCCACAAGTGCCCTCCTCCATGCCCATCCCCCCCTTCCCTTCCCCCACCCCCNCCACAAGTGCCCTCCTCCATGCCCACCACCCCCCTTCCCTCCCCCCCACCCCCATCAGTCCTCAGTTTGTTCTCAGCATTCAAGAGTCTCTCATGGTTTGCCTCCCTCCCTCTTCCCCACTATTTCCCCCCTTCTTCACCCCCATGGTCCTCCATTAAGTTCCTCCTAATCCTCCTATACGTGCACACATATGGTATCTGTCCTCTTCTGCCTGACTTATTTCCAAAGTGAGCCCTGTTCCAAATCTATGACACTGTGGCTGGTCCTGTAGTATTTTGGCTGCCGACCACCAAAATGCTAGTTCAGTGTTTCCCTTCAGGACTTGCATCTTTGTGTCTCCTTTGTTTGCATGGGATTATTAAATAAAAAGTAGTACATAGTCTTAGAAAAGCAAGAAAACTGTCCTAATTTAGCTCCTAGGTCCAAATTGGCCTTTGTTCCCTCAGAACTCTGCTCTGGCTTAATCTGTTCCATCAAATAATTATTTTATTTAGACTTTATAGCTACCCTGTGTAAGGCTGAAATTACTTTCCCTATTGGATAGAGTTGGAGATTGAGGCTCAGAGGAATTCCATTCGTGTTCTAGAGTCATACATACAGTACTTTGAAAGAGGATATTGAGGTTTGTAATGGAAAGTTACATAATTGTTCTTAGTTTATGGGTCTTTGAGGGTCATGGTATAGTTGAAAGAATTGTAAAATGTATTGTGACTCCTTTTCCTAGTCTCCCCTAAAAAGAGGACATGCCTTCCAAGTTTTCTGTGGGTTTGAAAAAAGGCTCTTACCAGATGTTACTTAGCTACACCAGCTTCTTCAGGTATAGGGTCAAACAATGGCCTGAGATTGGATTTTGAGACAGAGCAATTGGATTGAAGACCTGTGTTGACCATTTAGATGACTTTTGTGACCTGATAAATTACTTCCTTAACCTTCCAATGCAATCAAGTATTAAATAGGTATAGCAATATCAAATGAGATTATATATGTGAAAATATTTATCAGTGAAGATAACATTTTGGAAGGTGTTTGGTAAAGTATATAAGCTGTGATGCCTTGTTATGGTGGAAACTGTCATTTTATTAGTTTGTCTTTAGGGCAGTGTGTGAATCCTTGGAGAAAAGTAGCATATCTGGCTTGGTGTCCAGGTAGTGGGTGTGAGCACTGGCTGATGCATGCAAGCCAGCCTCTCTGTGTTTTCCATTTCACTTCCCAAGCAAAAAAGTACTTGCATTGTTGTGTAGCTTCTGTACCAGGTCACAAGACCATTATTGTTTGTTCAGGTCTCATTCTTAACAAGAACCGTTTAAATTGAATACTAAATTTTCACTTATGGAGCCTATCCACAACTCTGACAGTCACCAACTGATGACGCTATGCTTACACTGGCAGTCCTTACCTAGACTGTTAGCCAGAGCTTCACTTTTACTTCATTATTCCATTATGGCTTATTTTTTAGTTCGTTTTGGACTTGCTTGTTTGTTATACTTTCTCTTCATATTTGTTTCTTTTCTATGTCCTTATTTTTAAGGACCTCTCCATGGTATTTCTTTTCTCACTTGTCTACTTTTATTTATTTATTTTTTAATATTTTTTTCTTTATTTTTGAGAGTCAGAGAGAGACAGCGCGAGCAGGGGAGGGTCAGAGGGAAAGGTAGACACAGAATCCGAAACACACTCCAGGCTCCTAGCTGTCAGCACAGAGCCTGACGTGGGGCTCAAACCCACGGACCATAAGATCGTGACCCGAGCTGAATTGAAGTCGGACGCTTAACTGACTGAGCCACCCAGGTACCCCACTTGTCTACTTTTATTGCCAAGCCAAGCCTCGTCCTCCTGTTTACTCTTAAGTGAGAGGTGATTTGATTCTACCAGTAAATTAACTGATTATTCTTGGAGCCTGTTTTCTAAGATGTGGCCAAACCTTTAGGGATGGTTATTTTACATAAAATAAGCCTTAATGGATGAAATGATTAAAATTTAAGGCCAGTGGTCTTTTTTTTTCTTTTTTAAACAAATATTTATTTATTTATATTTGTTTTCTTCTTTTTTTTATATATTTTTTTAATTTTTTTTTTTTTACAAATAGTTTATTGTCAAATTAGTTTCCACATAACACTCAGTGCTCATCCCCACAAGTGTCCTCCTCCATGCCCATCCCCCCCAGGCCAGTGGTCTTATTGTAGGTAAGATAAGATGCATTGCAGGAGCCTGGGGATATTTAATTTGGAAAGTTTGTATATGGTTTATAAAACATTTCTGGGATGCCTGCGTGGCTCAATGGGTTATGCATCAGCCTTCAGCTCAGGTCATGATCTCACGGTTCATGAGTTTGAGCCCCACACTGGGCTCTCTGCTGTCAGCACAGAGCCTGCTTCACATCCTCTGTCGCTCTGTCTGCCCCTTCCCCCACCCCCCCCTTTAAAAAATAAACCTAAAAAAAATTATTTCCTTTCTTTCCCTTTGTTTTAAAAAAACCGTAATTCAGAAATTTAGTTCAAGGACGTCACATAAATATGATGTTTTTAGTATATTATATCATAGTACTTATGTAATATTTTGAGTTTTTAGTGCCTTTTAGACAATTCAAATAAAGCTCACCTGTTGTAGTTTCTTCTAGTTCTGGTTTACACATTGTGAAAAATATTAGTGACCAACATGTTAAGTACTGTTTCACATAACTTGTTCAGTTATATTTTTATGAGGTGTGTACTGGGTCATGATATAACATGATATTTTTTATTGTTACGCATTGTGGTCAGGATGTTGTTTCGCTTCTGTGGGTTTTTTTTTTTTTTTTTTAATTTATTTTTGAGAGAGGGAGAGATGGCGTTAGTGGGGGCGGGGCAGAGAGAGAGGGAGACACAGAATCTGAAGCAGGCTCCAGGCTTTGTGCTGTCCGCATAGACCCCGACACATGGGGCTCGAACCCACAAACCGTGAGATCATGACCTGAACTAAAGTCTGGTGCTTAACCAACTGAGCCACCCAGTGCCCCGTTACCTTCTGTGTACTTAAATAGCCTCCATACTCCTAAGGGTAGCAGTATCAGGGTCAGGTAGGCACAGATGGAACATGGAAGAGTCATTGGATCTAGAAGGTCTATTCAGGCCCTAGATCACACAGATTGTGGGCGCACCTAAGTAGAGAGAGTTAAGGTTCAGAGTTTGGAAGCAGAGAATGTCAACAAGAGTGAACAGGAAGAGGTAACAGGTGACCTCTGGTCCTAGGACAGAGGAGGTTTGTTTTCTGTCCTGTTTTTTCTTTGTTTGTTTGTTTGTTTGCTTCTGGCTTTGTCCAGTTTTGATTGATATCAGAGTAGAGGTGCTAGAATCAGTGGGAAGCTCAGATTAACACTTGTTCACCGTCATAAATTAATCATTCAGTTAAAGAGTTCTTTCTGTTAGATTTTTTTCTTTTATTTTGGTGGCTTTTAAAGGTTCTTATTATTCACATCACATTCTTCTTTGTACAGAAAATCCAGAACTGGACAAAATAATTTTTACAGTAAAAACCTCAACCATGCTGAGTAAAGATTGCCCATGCTTTGTATAGCTTGTATAAAATTCTCTTGTTTCCCATGTGAATGTGTAGTCGGTAGTCTAGTCTAGCTTTCATTCAAATACTGTTTATGTGACACAGTAGGAAAGGCACAGTGGTAGTAAATGATTCAAAGAAGTTAAATTTGTTTAGACTCTGGGATGTTGGCTGTTAAAGGCCTGTGTATGTTTTGCAGCAGTTTTAGCTTTTTATTTTATTCTTTGTATTGAATAACTTTAAAAACGTAGCTTATATCATTCCTTGACCACTTATTGATTTGGCAATGTACAGGGAGTGGAATGGAAAATAATTTTTTAGTTTAAAAGTTGCAACTGTAGTTTTAAATCTTTAGAATTTAATCAGTATTCATAAGCGTAGTTTTAGGATAGTTTAAATTTTAAAACTAATCACTGTGTGTAAGTATTGGCTACTTTACAAATAACTTATAAACAGTTTAGAATTGAAAATTACAGCATTATATTTTTCCTGTTTTATAGAATAGTAAATGTCCTGAGGGAACAAAACCCATGTTAATATTTGCGGGTGATGATTTTGATGTAACAGAAGACTACAGAAGGCTAAAAAATCTTCTTATTGGTAAGTATTTTAATACTTTTCCACATGGGTGCTCAAGTAGGTAGTCAAACTGTCATTGGTGGCACTTTGGCACTTCACTGTGGCTATACATCTTCTTTATGGTCTCTTTCCTTTTTTCCCCCTTTTCATTATTTTCCGTATTCCCCACTAGCAGCAAGGGAGAGTTAAAGGGATATTATACTGCAAAGATCATTATTATTTTTTGATGCTATAGTAACTTCATTGTCAACCTGTTTATAAAGCATTTTACACTTGTTAAAATGCTTGTACCCATTTTCTGTTTGTTGGCATCATTAAATTTAGAAAATTGAAAAGTTAAATTTTCAAGATTATTGTACATCATCCACTTCCAACTCAAAAACCTCTATTTTTCTGGGGCGCCTGGGTGGCTTAGTCAGTTAAGCGTCTGACTTTCGCTTAGGTCATGATCTCGCGGTTGGCGGGTTCGAGCCCCGCGTCGGGCTCTGTGCTGACTGCCAGCTCGGAGCCTGGAGCCTGTTTCAGAGTCTGTGACTCCCTCTCTCTCTCTGACCCTCCCCTGCTGTCTCTCTCTCTCTCTCCTAGAAATAAATAAAACATTAAAAAAAAAAAAATTAAAACAAAACAAAACAAAACAAAAAAACCTCTATTTTTCTTAGTCTTATAGGCACGATTTTTTAGACTCTAACCCCTTATAACTTTTTTCCTCTCTCCCAATTTCCTTCCTCTTTTTTTCCGTTTAAAGTGGTTTATTAAAAATACATTGTGCACATTCCTATTGTCTTTTCTGATTTCATTCTTATTTACCTAGTTTCTTCCATTCTTGCAAGTTTCAGATCACGTTTCTTTCCCAGGAAACCTTTGGTGACTTCCTGGCTCCTTTTTTTTTTATCATCCTTGTGATCGATCCTAGGTGCGAAGCATGTACTAGGTGCTTTATATGTATTGCTTTCTTCTCACAACCTCGTAAGGTTGTCTTATAGATGACTTATTCATGATGAATTACACTCGTTCCTAAGGACGTCTGTAATGATTGCATCCTTTGTGTTCACAAGTTACCCTTTTTAAAAAAATTTTTTTTAATGTTTATTTTTGAGGGTGGGGGTGGGAAGGACAGAGAGAAAGGGAGACACAGAATTTAGAAGCATACTCCAGGTTCTGAATTGTCAACACAGAGCCGGACGCGGGGCTCAAACTCACAAACTGTGAGATCATGATCTGAGCCAAAGTCAGCACTTAACCAACTCAGCCAGCCAGGTGCCCCTCTTCTCTGTGATTTCTTAAAGGTTCTTAGTATTAATTCTATTCAATATTTTGTGATCATATTTGCCAGCTCTTTTCTAACTCTGAAAAGTAATATGGTTTGTGCCTAGAGATATGAACTATTTTGATACTCAGTAGCTTTTTTTTAAAGTTTAAATAATTTATTCCATTTGAGCTTTTCTTATACCATTCTTACAAGCTTTGCTACAGTTTTTTGGTTGCCCTTCTTTTGGAATTTTATATACTTTGCCCTAGATCACTTTTGAAAAGTTGATGGAGTGGGGTATATGCTAAAAATAAATTAAATTGTATACATGTTCTTTACAAATCTGAGCCAGCTGAAAAACAGTTGTGAGCAGACACATTGCTTTCATTTTTTCCTTGTTATTATTTATGGTCTTATTGTTAGGATTGCAATTTTTAAAACCTCTCATTTATCTTATTAATAAATGGCTATTTTGGGGGCACCTGGCTATCTCAGTTGGTAGAACATATGACTCTGGATCTAGGAGTTGTGAGTTTGAACTCCATGTTGGGTGTAGAAATCTCTTTTTTAAAAAATGGCTATTTTTAGAAAACTGAGTACTGCTGTTACCTGTTTAATCCTTACTAAAGCTCTTGAGTTTAGGGATATTCCATTTCATAGATGGGAACGTGAAAGCTCAGAGAGGTTAAGAGCTATTAAGTAGATGGGCCAGAATCAAAATCAAAGCCCGAGCTTTTCTGCCTCTGCTCTCCGTCTTGACCATGGTGAACAATTGACTTATTGTGTCTTATTGTAGTCTTTGCTATAGGTTCTTACCTGAATACTTGACTAATTAAGAAAACAAAATCATACATGAAAGACAATGACCAACATTTTCTTCTTTCAAAATTACAACCCCAGAATATCAGAGATAGTTTTTAGCTAAGATTTCTTGTACTTGTACTCCATTGGCCCAGATTTCTGCCTTTCCCCCCACTAGTTCTTCCATAATAATTGTTAATTGTCAATATATATTTGTTGTAACAGAAAGCTTTCCTTTGCTTTTGTGTAATTGGTTTTTATAAAAACTTTATTATTTTGTGCTTCCACTAGAGGGCAGGAATAACCACATAATGCAGTGGTGAGAGGAAGGGAGTGAAACCAAAAAGTATCTGGGGAAAGAAGAAAGAGGAATGAAGTGAGATTGTCAGGCCCTAAGGGAAGTTGAGTTTTTAATGTAAATATGAAGTAAGCCAGCTGTAGACTCCTTGGTGTGTATTTTATGTTCATATACAGTAAAGTAGAGTGGTGGGGAAAGAGCATATTATCAAGGGCTTCTGTCCTTTTAGGAAGTTCTTTTTTTTTTTTGGTAATTGGCCAGAAAGAAAAGTTAGTTTATTAACTTTAGTGTTTTTATGCCAGGTGCCCATTTAGTTTGTTCTGAATTTTGCTTCTGTTTTGCTTTCTCAAATACTATCTAGGTTTGTAGTTAGTTTTAGTAGTTTTGCTTTTCTTCATAGAAAAATATCTATTTTTAGATTCAGTGCATCCTTTTTTTTTTTTTTTCATTTATTTTGAGAGAGAGAGAGAGAGAACGAACCCCAAGCAGGATCCACACTGTCAGCACAGAGCCCAACATAGGGCTCAATCCCATAAAATAAAAAATACAATTTATTTTCTCACAGTTCTGGTGGCTGAAAGGTCAAGATCACAGTTTTTGATGAGGACTCTTGCTGGCTTCTTGCTTTGTGCTCACCTGGCTTTTCCTTCAGGGAGGAGGGTAGGGAGGGGAAAGCAGGCGGGGGTGTGTGTCAGCTTTCTAGGATCTCTTCTTATAAGGACACTAATCTATGGGACCAGGGTCCCACCCTTATGGCATGCCTCATTTAACCTTAATTTCTTCCTTAGAAGCCCATCTCCAAATACCACCACATTAAAGGTTAGGACTTTAACATACGAATTTAGAGCAGTGGGGTTGGGGGCTGGGGGCAGACATTCAGTATATTATGACAATATTATTCTCATATTGTGGATGAAGGAGATGAGACCAGTTGAATAGTTAGTAAGTGGCAGAATCAGGATCTGCTCTATTCTCTAACTGCGGATCCCTTGGTCATTCCTGTCAACACGCAGTAAACCTTCTGTGTCCTTCCTCAGCATGTTTACTCATGGACAGTGCCACACATGAGATCCTATATTTACTTGGAATTGATCCACTGAAAAAAAGGTCCCATGCTGGGGCTTTATCATCTACCTCTTCTCCACCCCCTTACATGTATTTAACCAGGTTTTCATCTTTATCATTACTCATTAGTATCTTTCTTTTTACCTTAGCCATCATTCCTGCCCAGTTTAGTTCAGCTTTTTTGGCAGTGTTCTGAGTTTCAACACATTTTAATTCATTGCCCCTTCAGTGTTTCACATTCCTCCTACGTGTTCATTGCTTCTGTCCTGAAATGAGCTGTTTCTCTAAGCAGCCCTTAACATTTATTTTTTTAGTGTTCATTTATTTATTTAGAGAGATAGCATGCACATGTGCAGAGGGGCAGAGAGAGAGAGAAAGAGAGAATCACAAGCAGGCTCTGGGCTGTCAGTGCAGAGCCCTGTATGGGGCTCACACTCACAAACTGTGAGAGCAAAACTGTGTGAGCCAAAATCAAGAGTCAGATGCTTAACTGACTGCACCACCCAGGCACCCCAAACCTGAATATTTTTAAAATGAGAAATTATTTTAGAAACCACAGTCTGGGTGCCAGGGATTGTTTCATGGTTGGTCATTGTAGGCGTTTTAGAGAACGGAACTGTGAAATAAAGACTTGTTTGTTAAGATAAAATATATCCTGAGTTCATACAAAACTTCCAACTCTAATTTAGGACACAAGGATCTTCATTGACTTCACATACGTACCTCCTTTCATCCATGACAAAAATCCAGGCTCTCAGTGATCCAACACAATCATGCATTTCTTTCATAATGTGACTGTTGAGTGCAGTTGAAGGTTTTGTTGTTTTACTTTTGGGATTTTTTTGCGATTCTTTTTGTCTATAAAATACATCCTGTTAATATATGGTCAGATCACAGTTTTGTAGTCACTTGAAATAATTATTTTCTGTATGATTTTTCTTTAGCCAATACACAGTTCATTTGTTTTCAATTTTTAGGGACTACTTTAAATTTTTCATTTTGAGTTACATGTTAAAAAACTTTTGAAGGATAATTTATATACAGGTAAGTCTACATATTTAAATATTTAAAATATTTTTTAATGTTTGTTTATTTTTGAAAGAGACAGAGTGTGAGTGGGGGAATGGCAGAGAGAGAGGGAGAGACAGAATCCAAAGCAGGCTCCAGGCTCTCAACTGTCAGCACAGAGCCCGACGCGGGGCTCAAACTCCCAAACCACAAGATCATGACCTGAGCCAAAGTTAGACACTTAACCGACTGAGCCACCCAGGTGCCCCATACATATTTAAAGATTTGAAATTTGATGTTTTTTGACATATGTAATATACCTGTGAAAACACCACTGCAGTCAAGATACAGAACTCATTACACCCAAAAATTAGCCTGTGTCCCTGTGCAGGCTGTCCTATTTCTGTATTCTAAGCAACCGTTAGTTTGCTTTCTGTCATTATGGATTAGTTTGCATTTTATAGAGCTTTAGATAAATAGAATCACAGTATGAACACTCAGTATTACTTTTTTTGGTCTGGCTTCTTTCACCCAATTTGTTTTGAGATTTGTTGTGTGTATCAATAGTTTGTTTCTTTTTATTGAGGAACAGTATTCCATTTATGGCTGTTTCACAGTTTATTTTGTCATCTGTCATTAGACATTCAGGTTGATTCCAGCTTTTGATTAGATCAAAGATTTTGATCAGTAGAGCTACTATGAACACTTACATACAGGGGATGCCTGGGTGGCTCAGTTGGTTAAGCAGCCAACTTGGGCTCCAAGTTCAAGTCCTGCGTCGGGCTCTGTGCTGACCGCTCAGAGCCTGGAGCCTGCTTCCGATTCTGTCTCCCCTTCTTTCTGCCTCTCCCCTGCTCATGCTATGTCTGTCTGTCTGTCTGTCTCTCTCAAAAATAAACGTTAAAAAATTAAAAAAAAATTTATATACAAAGTTTTGTGAGGGTATATGTTTTCATTTCTTGAGGTGCCTGGATGGCTCAGTCAGTTAAGCATTTGACTCTTGATTTTGGCTTAGGTCATGATCCCAGCATCCTGAGATTGAGCCCCATGTTGGGCTCTGGGCTGGGCATGGAGATTCTCTTGAATCTGCTTGAGATTCTCTCTCCCTCTCCCTCTGTCCCTCCCCTGCTTGTACTGGCTCTTAAAAAAAATTTTTTTTTTTTTTTATCAGTAGAGCTGCTCTGAGCATTTATATACAGATTTTTGTGAGGGCATACATTTTTATTTCTTTTGGGTGAATACCTAGCTAGGAATGGAATGGTATGGTCATTTGAATAGTGTGTGTTTAATGTTTTAAGAAACTATTCTCCAATATGGTGGTACTGTTTTACATTCCCACCAATAGTGTATAAAGAGCTCCAGTTTCACTACGTTTTTCAGTACTTGGTAGACTATTCTTTTAAGTTTTAGTTATTCTAATGAATATTGTATGCTGATAGTAATGTAATCTATGAAATAAAGTAGTGCTATTATTGAAATTGTAATTTGCATTTTCTGATGATTAATGATGTTGAGCATCTTTTCATGTGCTTATTGGCCATTCATGTATTTTTGGTGAAGTGTCTATTCAAATCTTTGCCTTATTTTTTTTTTTTTGGAGGTTATTTGTCTTGAGTGATTAGGTAGGGATGTTTATATGTGTAATAAGGAAGGTGTGTGTGAGAGTGAGTGTGAGTGTGAGAGAGAGAAGGGGGGAGGTCCTTTGTCTCTGTCTGACATGTAGTCTTTGAATGTTTCCTCCCAGTCTGTGGCTTGCCTTTGTCTTTCAGAGAACAGAAAGGTTTTGTTTTGTTTTGTTTTGTTGTAAGAGAAGCTTTCCCTTTTATTTTCTTTAACATTTATTTATTGAGAGAGAGAGAGAATGTGAGCAGAAGACAGACAGAAGAGGGGGCGCACAGAGAATCCAAAGCAGGCGCTGTGCTGACAGCAGACAACCCAATGCAGGGCTCAAACTCACAAATGGTGAGATCATGGCCTGAGCCAAAGTCAGACAATTAACTGATTGTGCCACCCAGGTACGCTGAGCAGAAGTTTTAATTTTTGTGAAGTCTGTTTTCCATCTTTTTTTCCCTGTAATGGTATGTTCTTCCTCTATATTGTTTAAGCAGCCTTTGCTTATCCCAAGATCACAAAGACTTTTTCTGGTATTTTCTTGTTGAAATCTTAAGAGTTTTAGGTTTTGCGTTTAGTTATGATCATGAGTTAATTTTTGTGTATGATGTGAGGAAAGGGCCAGTGTTCTTAAAACTTTCTACTTCAGGGCACCTGAGCGGCTCAGTGGGTTAAGTGTCTGACTTCGGCTCAGATCATGATCTCACAGTTCATGGGTTTGAGCCTATCATCAGACTCTGTACTGACACATTAGCTCTATGCTGAGCTAATCCTGCTTCAGATTCCGTGTCTCCCTGTCTCTTCCCCTCTTTTGCTCACGCTCTATTTTTCTCTCTCTCAAAAATAAACATTAAAAAAAACACAACTTTCTACCATCAATTTTTTCCTTTGCATTCTTAAAAGTTTATGGAAAAAACACATATTACCATTGATTTGCATTACAAAAGCTGCTTCAGGGAAACTGAAATGTACTTATCTTGTTCCCCAGAAAGACTGACTTCAGTAATGCAACCAACACAATGAGGGGGTTTATTAACTTGGCCACTGAAGGAGTTATATTTTGACAAAATCATGGGAAACCTGTTCACTAATTATGATGCAAATTTAGATCAGACTACTTTGAAAAAGTATGTACTTGGTTTATAAAAATATCCCTGAGAGAATTTTGTTCGGGGGAGTAGGGAAGGGTGGTGTATACATGCGCATACACACTTGTGTGCCTATTTTATACACAATAGCTGTTTTCTTTTAGTTAACCATGAGAAAGGAAAAACAAACAACAAAGGGTGTGTATATCCATGCAAGGGGATTTTTCTCATCTGAGCTAATCGGAAGAGGGAAGGACAATGCTGGGTGGCTACAGATTGGGATTAAATGACTTTTCTGTTTACTACATCACTTGCCTTGGGGCAGCTCTTCCTAATTAATTAAGTTGGGTAAACTTTATGTGTAACTTTTTCTTACCTAAATATTATTTGTGTATATTTACATTTAGCCTTCTCGGGGTTCAGTCTTCTTAGCTATAAAATGAGGGAACCAAACTTGATTGTTGTTTTTTTAGACTTCTTTCATTCTTGTGCTACCTTCATGTCTTTAGCCAAGCCCACATAGCATTCATGGTGTTGTTCACCAAAGATGTTTCTTTATACTGACTCTTCTTTTTATAAAGAGAAACTTTTCATAAAAAGAAACTTTATGTCTCTACCTTGAATGGCAAATGGTATCTGATAAAAAAATAAATACTACATGTAGATTATTCTGCCTGTGTATCATTTAAGATCACTTCATGTGCCACCAGTGGGGAAACATCCTATTCATGGATCTCAATGGTTCTTTTTTGGCTTTAACAATTTAGTTTGTTATTTTTGCACATTCAATTGAGATTTCTTATTAGAATTTTCTTGCGTCTTGGCTTCTACCATAATATAAAGGTCAATTTGATTTAACAGTCAAAGTTTGAACAGCTGTTTTTATTGGAATTTGCCATCCTAACCTACCTGTCTCCTATAAAAAAATTTATGCTTTGATTTACATTTTTAAAAAAAGTGCACATGCGTGATAAATGTGATAGACCCTTATGCTGAGCATTGGCTGAGAAGGAGAACTTCACAACTGAAGAGTTACATAGCTTAGTGAGCTAAACACAGAGAGTAAGTCATGAGCTTAAATGGTCGAGGGATGAGAGTCTCAAACAGTCTTTGGAGACCAGGTTTTGTGCTACCTTTTTACCTTTTTAGGTGAGCAGTGTAAAATGGGGCATCGACAGTCTGGCTGTCTGTAACTGAATTTAACAACGTGTTAGTCTTTTTTTTTTTTTTTTTTTTAACAACCTAAAATTTGTTTCTAGATTTCTTCAGAGGCCCCACAGTATCAAACATCCGCCTGGCTGGTTTAGAGTATGTTCTGCATTTCACTGCACTCAATGGAAAGATTTACTTTCGAAGCTACAAGTAAGTGCGTTTGTTAGAGTAGTTTTGAATTCAGGGCTGCATTTTAGTGTTACTTCTATAAAGCTCAAACTTAGACTTGGTGTTTGGTTCGGAGTTTGGGGAGCTGGCAGACGGGCAGTGGCAGGCACGGTGGCTCTGTGCCAGTCTTCAGATCTGTCCTTCCCTGCTCACGTCTGCCTCTGGAACCCCACTTTTCCAGGGCCCCAGAGCGCCTGATGCTGCAGTCCTCCGAGCTCAGAACACTCCTTTATTGTGCAAGATCTCCTTCTTTTTCTTGACTAGAGTTAGAGCACCAAGTCACAGTTTTAGGCCAGCCAAAGCAAATCTCAAAGCCCTGAGCCTTCTGCGCCTAAAAACTGGAGTCTGAATGGAATGAGCAGATTCGGTGACTAGATTCATTTGACCCGCATCAGCCTAGGCCTTCTACCCCTGCCGCAATATAAGCATAAATCCTAACCCTCTGGTTTTATTTTCATTAAAAAGCTTAATGACATGCTATAATTGTGCCTTTTGAGATCAGCATGGTTTTTATTCCTTATTTAAAATAAAGTGTTGGCACTGGCTGATCAAGTCCACACTTGCCTGGAGAACATGTTGACTTCCACATGCTGCCTTCCTTTGTACGTGACATTCAGACCGATGTCCATTTTCGAGCTGTGGTGTGGAAGCACAGCTTGAGAGCCACGGACAGTTCAGTCCGTGGTGACAGTGACTTGTGTGCTTTAGTGCTATCTGTGCAGCCACTTTTGGTGGATGTCAGCATTTCATCCATGGTTTAATAAACTGTGTCCACAACGTCGGGCTTGAACTCATGACCCTGAAAGCAAGTCACCTGCTGTACTGCTGAGCCAGCCAGGTGCCCCTCATTTTTTTTTTCCCTTCATGATGGAATACTTGGTTGACTAGCTTATATCAATGATCATCCAAATGAAAGTAAAGTCACCTTTTTTTGTTAATAATTTACATCTTTGTCTCAATTGTATTGAGTCAAAGATACTCCATTCTTCTCACTGTATCATTGGTATCAGCACTTCTGTGTTTTTATTTTCCTATTGTTTCTATAGAAATAATAATTATAGGGAAAAGGCAATAAAATATTCATATGATTGCAAGATGTAGTTAGGGATTTTATAATCATTTTTGGCTGGTTGAGACTGAAAACCCCTTAAATCTGTTTGATTTTCCCAACCTAACTTTGAGGCTCTGAAGAATATATTATAAAGTAGATGACTTCAGCTTGGAACAAGAAAGATGAATAATCACTAAATTAAAAAAAAAATCTTTTTGAAAACTTGTGTTAAGCAGTTATGTCCTAAGGGTATAAAGGAGCTAAAAATATAAAGATAAAGTCTTTGAGAATGAAAAATGAATAGTAACATTAATCTAAAACTCTTTCATTGTAAACAGTTTCAAAGACCATATTCACTTGTACCAGAACTTATATTTAGTGAAAGAAAGATTAATTTGTAAAGAGAGAAATACAGAGACAATAAAATGGTCAGAAAATTAGTAAATCAGACTTTAGAACATGGATAAATTAGTAGTGTGACTACATATATCCACCCATCCACTTACTTTAAGAAGAATTAACTGGAATCACTGTTAGGTTAGCATGGCATAACAACCATTTCCATCTCATAATGGAAAAAAAAAAAGGGTTTGAATTTTTCAGATCAGAGACCCTAGAGTAAAATTTTAATCCTTGGCATTTCATATAGGGCATGTAATACCTGTTAGCTGTTGATTTAAAGTAAAAAATAGACTGTGGGTGCCTACCTGGCTGAGTCAGTGGAGCATACAACTCTTGCTCTCGGAGTTGTGAGTTTGAGCCCCACGTTAGAGATCTTAAAAATAAGATCTTTAAAAAAAAAAGAAAATGTATCGTATGATTGAGAGAGCAAGCTGCTAGTGGGGAAAAAAAAATCACTAGATTAGCTTAGCTTGCATGGGCTGTGCCACACTTGGGAGAGGAAGAAAGAAGTGGTCCAAGGAATGAACATCGCCTCTGACCCTGGTGACTTGGCTCAGGGTCAGGCTTAGCCACATGACTTAGGCAGGTTACTTCTCAGGGCCTCTGTTTTTCCTTTTCAAAATGTAGCAATGCTATTTAGGTAATTCTGCAGCCCCTCTGAGATCAACAGTAATTCCTTTATAAGAGGGAGAGGGCTGCGGATAGAGGTGGGAATATGCCAGAGAAATGTGTCTGACTTTGTGTGGCTCTTTAGGCATTCTTGCAGGCTACACTTAGGTGTCCTGCACTTTCTTTTACCTGGAACCAACCCTTAAACAGTTGGTACAAGATAATAGTTAACATTGATACACATTATTTGTGAAGATTAATAAGGTTAATCTTATAAAATGGCTTTGAGTTTCTTGGATGAAAGGAAGTGTAAACATGAAACTATGTTAATACAATCTTTGATCTGACCTTTTGGCAGAATAAATCATTACCGATCTCTTTCTGTATATTGTATAACAATTCTTCATAGGTGAGTGATCATTTGTATTCCTTGGAGAATTTTATTCACTTAGAAAGTTAAAGTCTCTAATATGAAAATTATTAGTTAATTGCCATATTTGCCTTTAAGATGGCATTGGTGAAGTTTTATGGGGAGAAATATGCAAAATAAGAAGGATTAGTATACCTTAAAAAGCAAACAACATTATATTCAAGGACTTTAAGTAATGAAAACAGAGTATCAGCAGAAGGGAGGGATAGGGAGAAAAGTAAGGAAATGAAACTTGAAAAAGAGTGGTAATGGCAGTCTTTCTCAAGAAATATGCCAACAGTATTTTAAAACATACAGAAACTACCCATCAACATTTTTAATAGCCTGCGCCCATTTGAAAACAAAGGAGCTGGGTTGTCTTTGTGTCTTATACTATATAAGCTTGCAGAATTGAATGTCACTTTTGATTACTTGGAGCCAAAACAAAACAAAGCTTGAGGTTAGTATCTGAGATGGAGATTAATAGGCATATGGTATAACACTTCTTGGCGTAGGTATTTGGCTAGAGACATGATGGCCTGGAATTGGAATGTCTATCTTTATTTATTTATTTATTTTAATGTTTTTTATTTATTTCTGAGAGAGAGAGAGAGTGTGAGCAGGGGAGGGTCAGAGAGAGGGGGAGTTACAGAATCTGAAACAGGCTCCAGGCTCTGAGCTGGCTGTCAGCACAGAGCCCAACACAGGGCTTGAGCCCACAAACCATGAGATCATGACCTGAACCGAAGTCAGATGCTTAACTGCCTGAGCCACCCAGGTGCGCCTGTCTATCTTAAAAAAAAAAAAAAAAAAAAAAAGTCTGTTGTGAATGATAGAATGGGGGTGAAGGAAAAGGGTTTCAATTTTGTTCTTAACGGGTCAGTGTCAGTCTCTTCTTTTTGCTTAGCGTGATTACAAAAATCGTTTAAAAGTTCTGTATTAATACATTCCCTCAATCATTTTAGATTCTATATTTCACTGTTAAGAGTTTAATTGAGTTGGGGGCGCCTGGTGGCTCAGTCAGTTAAGTGTCTAACTTTGACTCAAGTCATGATTTCATGGTTTGTGAGTTTGAGCCCCACATCAGGCTCCATGCTGACCGAGTAGAACCTGCTTGAGAGTCTCTCTCTGTCCCTCTGTCTCTGCCCCTTCCCTACATTCTCTCTCTCTCAAAACAAATAAACTATAAAAAATATTTTTTTAAAAGTTTAACAAAGAGAAAAGAGTATAGGTCTATCCCCAGCAACCATATGTAGAAAACTGATTTCTGGAGAAAGTTTTCTTCTATTTCTATCCATTTGATCTGCCAGTAAACCTGCTCAGTGAAGTAATTCCTTTTTTTTTTTTTTTTTTTTTTTAATTTCTGAGAGAGAGAGAGAGACAGACAGACAGACAGAGAGACAGACAGCGTGAGCAGGGGAGGGTCAGAGAGAGAGGGAGTCACACAATCTGAAGCAGGCTCCAGGCTCTGAGCTGTCAGCACAGAGCCCAAAGCGGGGCTCAAACCACGAAGCGTGAGATCATGACCTGAGCCGAAGTCGGACGCTTAACTGACTGAGCTGCCCAGGTGCCCCTCAGTGAAGTAATTCAGATCAGATCATCTATACAGACAGTATGGCACTATAACTTAATTCTTTGGTAAATGGCAACATGTATAGTTACACACACACACACGCACGCACACCCACACATATACAGGTAGTTATGTGGAAATACTCTTAATTATATACACCACTCAAAAGGTTACTCAGGAGGACACTTGCATCAATTAAAAGGTACTTGGGCAGTGTGAATCCCTGAGGCATGCCAAGAGCTGTTCTAGATCTACAGCTCTTATATTTAGCTGAAAAATCAGCATTTGAAGTGGTGGAAACATTTTTAGTTTGACATTTTTATATATACACGTTCCCTGATTTCTTAAGTAGTCTACTGAACACAAGATTTTAATCAAGATATTAATTTTGATATGAGTTCAGCTTTAAATATCCTCTATTGGAGGCACTGAAAGTGTGGATGCAAAAGCAGAAGTACGTGTGTTAGAACCAAGTCAAATGGTCACTGCCGCCATAGCTTTGAATTAGCTTTTATGAAAGATGCCCTGATATCACCAACTCTAGCTTCTAAAAGTATTTTCCCCACAGTGGGCCCGCGGCAGGCAATCTCTCAACTCTCTTGTATCGGAACCACCATGCAGTGAGTGGCCTTGAAGGCTCGTGTTTGGGCTTTTTCCCCTCTGCTTGCTCCCTTCAAGTTCCATACAAATATTCATGTTATCTTGTATTGTTATTAGAGCTTTTTTTTTGTTTAACACTTCTGCTTTTGACATATCCTGCTGGTATTCATTTTATTTTGTTTTTGTCTTATTCAATTGGGTATAAATAACTGTGTCTGATACAGCATATCTATCATCATGACTCTTGCAGCTAGTGGACGTACCTCCCATGGGTGAACTGTCTGCATGTGACGCATTTAGGGCCCAAAGGACTATTAATGAGCTTAGTATGCACATTCAGTTCTGCTTCCTGGTGTTTTCTGCTCTTGGGTATTCCTTACTGTGCTCTACTCTTATGTTCTTTCTCTTCTCTCATGTCATTTGTTGCCTCCTTCCCATTCCACCTTTGCTGTGAAAAGTTTGATCTGTTATAAATATTGTTTTCATTCAATTCTTTTTGTCCATGTGGAGATCTGGCCACTGTAACAAATTGAGTCAACTCAAATAATTATCCGGTCTTTGAGTCGTTCTTGTGGTATGACTCACAAAAAGTTCCTGACTGTGTCCTTCATCTGTTTGCACATCCAGAGCTATTTGGACATATGTTATCCAGAAAGTTGTGGTTTTGTTATATTTTAAACTTTTTGTTTAACTTTTTGTATAACTTTTTGTTATATTATAAGCTTTTAAAATTCATTCCAGTCTAGGGGCGCCTGGGTGGCTTAGTCGGTTAAGCTTCCGACTTTCGCTTAGGTCATGATCTCGCTGTTCGTGGGTTTGAGCCCCGCGTCGTGCTCTGTGCTGACTGCCAGCTCAGAGCCTGGAGCCTTTTTCAGTCTGTGACTCCCTCTCTCTCTGACCCTTCCCTGCTCACGCTGTCTCTCTCTCTCTCTCTCTCTCCTAGAAATAAATAAAACATTAAAAAAAAGAAATTTAAAATTCATTCCAGTCTATAGAGATCAGTAAATGAAATGTCTTTACCGTGAACAAAAATGGATTCTGAATAGATCTTTCAAGAAATAAGAATTGTTAATCATATAAACATGACATTTCAAAGGCCTAGATGAAATTGTTTTTATAATTAAGTAAATCTGTAAGATGAAGAAGTCAAAGGATTCCATTTCTTAAAACAGTTGCCTGTCTCACTTGCTGTTTCTTAACAATACTGTATACTTTTGTGTTTGATTTTTAAAAAACAGTGAACCAAAGAATATACTTGGCATAAATGTGTAAAGCATTTAAGATGTTTAGCCTCCTAAAGAGGGCGTCATTTTATGTTATGGAACTGTAGTTCTCTTGAACAAAAGTATTTGAGGGGATAAGGATTGCATCAAAGTCAAAGCAACATTTCTTTTTCTTTCTTTCTTTTTTTTTGTTTTTTTTCTATTCACAAAGGTTGCTGTTGAAGAAGTCTGGTTGTAAAACACCAAGGATTGAGTTGGAAGAGATGGGGCCCTCATTGGATCTGGTTCTGAGGAGGACACATCTGGCATCAGATGATCTTTATAAACTATCTATGAAAATGCCAAAAGCCCTCAAGGTATATAACTGGCAGATTGGTGCCATATTTATTTGTATATTCCACTCTTCTTTCCAAAAGATTGGCAGCGTAGTGTATTAAAGAACATACAGAGAGAGATCGATAAAATAGATAAAATTAGACTTTCAGAACAAAGAAAAGGAGGAAAAAGCAAATATGCCAAACATAAAGGATAATAAAAAGAGTTGTAGAAATCATGCATCAGCTACACATGGTAGCTTTCTGGTAGCCAAGACTGCCAGTTTTCAGCAAGAAAGAAAATTGTTTCGGGCATTGTGGAGATGAGGATTTAGAGCACAGGATATGTAATTCGTACTTGTATAAAATGTGTTTTGACTTTTGAATGGTTTTGAAAAACAAGTAGAAATGGCTTCTCTGGAATGCCAATAAAGATGGACTAGATAGTCACAATTCCTTAAGCTAAACACAGGAAATTCTCTCACTGGATGACAGTGGTTATTGTAGTCTATAGTGTTGCTTTTCAAATGTGGTCTGACAGTTTACCTGGGAATTGTTAGAAATGCTGAGTCTCAGGTCTCTAGACCTATTGAATTATAATATGCATTTTAACAAGATCCTTAAGAGATTTGTATGTACTTCAGTTTGAGAAGAAAGTCCTGTAGGGTTATAGACTATATTATTGACTAGGTGCTCACTCATGGAAATTGTTAGTAAGACCTTTGTTAATTTTTATTAGTTTATGATAGTAGAGACCATTAAATATATATACACATATATATTCTTGTTTCATAGCCAAAGAAGAAGAAAAATGTCTCCCATGATACTTTTGGCACAACTTATGGAAGGATTCATATGCAGAAGCAAGACCTAAGCAAACTACAAACCAGGAAAATGAAGGGGTTGAAGAAACGACCTGCAGAAAGGATAACAGAAGATCAGGAGAAAAAATCAAAGAGAATTAAAAAAAATTGATGGAACTTAGCCAATAACTACAGTGTTTTTGTAGTCTGTTTACCTAAGAGAGTTATCAAGCATCGGTCATTTCAGACTTTATTATATTATATATTTTTATAACATGGTAATTTACCTAACCTGGATGTTAAATATATTACAAATAGTAATATACTAGTATTAGGTTGAAAGTAAGCCTCTTTTTTTTTTTAATTTATATTTTTTTAATTAAAAATTTTTTTTTTTATTTTCAAAGAGAGAGAGCACAAGTGGGGAAGGGGCAGAGAGGGAGAGAGAGGAAAAGAGAGAATTCCAAGCAGGCTCCGCAGCATCAGTGCAGAGCCTCATGTAGGGCTCGAACCCACAAACCATGAGATCATGACCTGAGCTGAAATCAAGAGTCAGACACTCCAACAACTGAGCCACCCAGGTGCCCCTTTTTTAAATATTTTTTTAATGTTTGTTTGTTTTTGAGAGAGAAAAAGAGAGAAAGCACGTGCATGGGGGAGGGGCAGAGTGAGAGAGGGAAACAGGATCTGGCCAGCAGAACCCCATGTGGTGTTCAAACCCATGAACTGCAAGGTGACAACCCAAGCCAAAACAAGAGTCAGATGCTCAGCCAACTGAGCCACCAAGCATCCCAAGCCTCTTACTTGAGGCATATCCTGGTGAGCCATTTTCTTTCTGTTACGGTATTCCCTCTACTCCCCTCCCGCCTCCTTCCTTCTCTTATCTCATTGGATTGGTAGGTGAGGAGGCATCTCCAGAACGATTGGGATTTTAAAGAATTTCTGGGTTAAGCTTTCAATAAAGGGAAGAAGCCATGGAAAGTAGAATTGGCCCAAAGGAACTGTATACACACTCAGTATGAACTACCTGGAAAGTTAACCCCATCTCCCAGCGCATACCTACACCCTGACCTTTGTTTTTTACCTTTCTGTTGTTTTGCCAGAAATTTTACCATTAGAAATTCATTAGAGATTTTTAACTTTGCGTCTTAAAACATTAAAGCATGTCCTTACCTGATCATTGACATATTACCATAGTATTGGGGGTTTTTTTGTTTTAAGTTTTTATTTAAATTCCAGTTAGTTTACATACAGTATAATATTAATCTTAGGTTGTACTATTGGTTACCTTGAGAGCTTCTGCCACTAAGCCCTATCCCCACTCCTGTGAGAGAAAGGCAGAAAGGGCTAGGCTAAGAGGAGAGAATGGGAAAGTTTTGAGACAGAGGGCACTTTAGGGTACTGAGTGGACCTAGGTAGCTAAAGGTCACATGAAGGCCCTGGGTGTTTGCACAGCAAGTGGGAATAAGCCAAAGCCAAAGAGCTTGTTTTGAAATTTTCTTTAAGATGCGCCTTGTGCCTAGGAAATGGGAAGAAACTGCCTACTTCCTCCTCTTAGTGCTGTATACTTGGTTTTCTTAAATGTCTAATGTTTTTTGATTCTGTGTCAGGGGCCTGTGTGCATAGTTATGAAGGTTTGCTGACACTAAGCAAAAGCTAGAGCCTCAGTTTTACCTTCCATATCTTTTCCCTTGTAAACCCATTCCTTGGCCTTCCCTCTCCCCGCCCCTTTCCAGATGGCTAATACCTCTCATAAAAAGGGAGCTGGTATTATTCATTTACACTTCTTGCTTGATTATACATTTACCCAAAGACCATCGAATTTTAGATCTGAAGCAGGTGTTTATATTTTGTACTTTATGTCTGAATGGGGAGAAAAAGTTAAAATAATTCATATCCAGCCATCTATAAGGAAATGGATAATAGGTGGGGAGAAGGGAAGCCATGAAAGGGACATCGTCAGAAATGCTGAATGCAGAGTTCTTCCCCAGTGCCTGACCTTGGGCTTCCAGCTAACACTAAGGGAAGTAGTGGGGGCGCCTGGGTGGCTCAGTCAGTTGAGCATTCGACTTTGGCTCAGGTCATGATCTCACAGTTTGTGGGTTCGAGTCCCGTGTTGGACTCTGTGCTGACAGCTCAGAGCCTGGAGCCTGTTTCAGATTCTGTGTCTCCCTCTCTCTCTGATCCTCCCCTGCTCATGCTGTCTCTCTCTCTCTCTCTCTCTCTCTCTCTCAGAAATAAATAAAACATTAAAAAATTAAAAAAAAAAACAAAATACTAAAGGAAGTAGTGATGCAGCAAAGCAATGGGTCACATTAGCTACCTACAGGAAATACTCTGTCATACCTTGACCTCTATCCCAGCAATTCAACTGATTTTAACGTACAAATGGCCATATTTTTGGTATGTGGGTCATTGTCTTGGAGTGTTTGTTTTAAACCTTTTTGAGATTTGGTAATGCATCCTTTTGTTTTCTATGTAATTTTGTTTATTTTTGAGAAGGCGCGAGTAAGGGAAGGGCAGAGAAAGAGGAAGTCACAGAATCCGAAGCAGTCTCCAGGCTCTCAGCTTTTAGCACAGAGCCAGCTGTGGGCTTGAACGCACAGACCACGAGATCATGACCTGAGCGGAAGTTGGACGCTTAATGACTTAGCCACCCAAGTGCCCATCCTATGTAGTTTTTATCTCAGATTATAGAGTAATAAGTATTTGCATCCTGTTCAGTAAGAGTATATAGTATTACTGATACCTAGTTGGAAGCCTTTTATTTTCTCTCTTTTTTTTTAATAGAAATTTTTATAGTAGTTGTTGAGCCCCTGGAACCCTTAATATCATTATTTCTGTGGAAAGTACATTTTAATTTCCACTTGTCCTTAAACTTAGGACACAACATACATAAATTGGAGAGGTGGTAAACTCCTATCTTAACTTTGTTTTTACTTATCCAAGTTTTACTTAACACTTTGTGGATTTTGGTGGTTGGAGAAAAGTTTTTTTTTAATACCAAATTCTTTTGTTTTTTTTTCTAGATTGTTAATATTGACACCAAGGCATATATAATTTCATGAAATTTGTTCCTTTTTAAAACCTAAATGTTACTATTTGTTTTCTTGGTATTGAACATATTCCAAGGTAGAGATGTTATTACTCAGGAAAGGAAGAAAAAAGAATTCACCACAAGTCAATTTTCAGTTATCTGGTTACCTAGCTGCTTCTGATCTCTCCTTTCATTTATACTTCTAGCCATTTCATGTCCCCCCAACCCCCAAGTGGGACCAGGAGAAAAGCTTTATAATGGAAGAAGTTAAAACCATTGCTAACTTTTGACCAACAACAGAAGGCTTGTTTTTATTTTTTTAATGTTTTTTAATATTTTTAAAATTTACTTCTGAGAGAGAGAGATACAGAATCTGAAGCTGGCTCCAGGCTCTGAGCTAGATATCAGCACAGAGCCCGACGTGGGGCTCGAACCCATGAACCGTTGAGATCATGACCTGAGCCAAAGTTGGATGCTTAACCGACTGAGCCACCCAGGCGCCCCCAGGAAGGCTTGTTTTTAAACTGAATTTCGGGGGCACCTGGGTGGCTCAGTCGGTTGACCATCAGACTTTGGCTCGGGTCATGATCTTGTGGTTCATGGTTCAAGTCCTGCATCTGGCTCTGTGCTGACATCTCAGAGCCTAGAGCCTGCTTTGGATTCTGTGTGTGTGCCCCTTCCCTGCTTGCTCTCTGTCTCAAAAATAAATTTTTAAAGTAATAACTGAATTTCAGTTATTGGTACTTTGTCTATCAAAGTTAGGAGCCTGCAAAGGATCTTCATTATATCCTTAACAGTATTTTTAATAGATCATCAACATGGTCAAAATATCCCATAACTGCACTAAAGGCAAATCTATCCATATATTTTACACAATTGAATATTTTACACAGTTTCATTATATATAATGAAATATATATGAATAGTATTCTACACATCCATCGAAATAAGTTACTATGAACTGGGAGATAAAATGGACTCACTGGCTTGAGGTTTATGCTAGCTGTGACAAAGTCAACTTGCTTTTAAATGTATAGTTTTTCTCTTAAACCAACAACTTGAGTTCAAGTTTAAAAATAGCAAAGCTATCACAATGTTTCCTGTATCACCCAGAATGGCCCATGTTAGGAATTTTAACTGTTTAGGTTGAGTTGGAGCCATTTGCACTTTTTCCATTTCAAAGGTCTTTGGGAAAAAGTTTTAAAATAAGGGATTGGGGTGCCTGGGTGGCTCAGTGACTTTGGCTCAAGTCATGATCTCAGGTCATGATCTCGGTTCGTAGGTTCGAGCCCCGCGTTGGGCTCTGTGCTGAAGGCTAGCTCAGAGCCTGGAGCCTGTCTTCGGATTTTGTGTCTTCCTCTCTCTCTGACCCTCCCCTGCTCACACTGTCTCTCTCACTCTCAAAAATAAAAAATAATAATAATAAAATAAGGGATAAATGTAAGGCCTTTCTTTTTAGATAACAAATATGCATTTTAAATCTAAACAACTTTCCCTCCTCCCTCCCTAAATCCGTCACCTCCCCTCCCCCCCCTCCCCCCATGCTTGGGCATCAGAAAATAGGTCCAAACACGGGAGAAGCAAGCAGCTGGTGGATAGTGGGGAATGGCAAAGCTTGTAGAACCCAGCAGTTAGCATTCTTGCCAGGCAAAGATCAAAGCCCCTGAATTTTACTGGGTTTGGATTGGTTCTTCAAATCCAAAGCTGCATTTCTGGGGGCTCTGCAGGAAGCAGAGCGGTGGATGTTGGCTCTGGGAGGCATGCCCTCCCACTCAGCTGCAGAGGCCCCTTGTCTGGATGCCCGGCCTGGGTGAGGGACTTGAAGCCAGGCTGTGTTAAGGTAACCCCTCTCCCCATCTCAGAATGCTGCAAGCGAGTAGTGCTTCCAGAGGTTCCCGGAAGCAAGGTGCAAACTAATTGCTGCATTTGAAACAGACTTGGAAGATTCACATTCATCAACTCCCTTAGCTAGTTCCCCAGAGTCCTCTGAAAAGCAGATGGCAAGGGGATCTAACAGACATCATTTAGATGACAACCTGTGACAGCACCTCTGGTTCAGCTTCTCAGAGGTGCTTTTGGGCTTCTGACTCTGGGAGAAAGAGAGTGAGAATTCATTGTTGTCCCCATTAGGCCCCATTTCCATCCATTTGGCTCATC